TGCCCGAACTCCTCAATGTTATAGCCGAGGTGGCGGCTGATACCCCCCAGACTTGTAGTCATGGGGATTTCAACCTGCCATCCATCGGTGAAACATCTGAGGTAGCTCGGGAGTTCATGGCTTCCATGACGGCCATGGACCTGACCCAAGTAATTCACGGCCCTACTCATATGGGGGGACACACTCTGGACTTGGTTTTTATCTCTGGTCAGCGGTTGAGTGGCCTCGATATAGGGGATGTAGATATTGAACCCTTGTCATGGTCTGACCACTCGCTCCTTTGACTTGACTTTGTGACCGCCGTACCCCGTTGCAGAGAGGCGGAGCCGACCAGGTGGTTCCGCCCCAGGCGCCTGATGGACCCCGATAGGTTCCAGCTGGAGCTTGGGCCATTTCCTGAGACTCTAGCTCATGACTTGGCAGATGACCTGGTGGCCGCCTGGGATAGGGCGGCTGCTGGGGCTTTGGACCGGGTCGTGCCTTTGCGGCCTCTGACCCGGCACCGAACTCACTTAGCTCCTTGGTTCTCCGAGGAGCTGAGAGAGATGAAGCGCCGGAAAAGACGCCTAGAGAGCGGTTGGAGGGCCAGTCGTTCCGAGTCTGACTTGACACTGGTAAGGTCCCATATTAAGACCTACCTAGTGGCGATAAAAGCGGCGAAATCTAGTTATTTTGCCACTCTTATCGCGTCATCAGATAACCGCCCAGCCGCCCAGTTTAGGGTGACCCGCTCCCTCCTCCATCTGGGAGCACGGGAGGACCCCTTGCAGGGCCGAACTGAGGATTTTGTACAGTATCTGGATGATAAAATAACTCAGATTCGGGAAGACTTGGCCGCCGACTGGCTTAGTTCAGACGAGATGACTGAGGCAGGCCTTGAGAGTGTTATCTGGGAGGAGTTTGATCCTGTGGCTCCCGAGGACGTGGACAGGATCTTGGGACAGCTGAACGCAACCACATGTTTATTGGACCCGTGTTCCTCCTGGTTGGTGCTGGCTTCCCGGGAGGTTACACGAGGCTGGCTCCAGGGGATTATCAACGCTTCTTTGAGCAAGGGTGTCCTACCGACCGCCTTGAAAGAGGTGGTGGTGAGGCCTCTCCTCAAGAAGCCATCACTGGATCCGGCTGTTTTGGCTAACTATCGTCCAGTCTCCAACCTTCGCTTTATTGCGAAGGTTGTTGAGAGTGTGGTGGCGCGACAGCTTCCCCAGTACCTGGATGAAGCTGTCTATCTGGATCCGCTCCAGTCCGGCTTCAGACCTGGATACAGCACGGAAACGGCATTGGTCGCATTGGTTGATGATCTCTGGAGGGCTCGGGATAGGGGTTATTCCTCTATCCTGGTCCTATTAGACCTCTCAGCGGCTTTTGATACCGTCGACCATGGTATCTTGTTGCGCCGGCTGGAGGGACTGGGAGTGGGGGGCACCGTTTTGCGGTGCTTCTCCTCCTATCTCTCCGACCGGTCGCAATCCGTGTTGACGGGGGCAGCGGTCGACCCCAAGGCACCTTGTTTGTGGGGTGCCGCAAGGGTCGGTCCTCTCGCCCCTCCTGTTCAACATTTATGTGAAGCCGCTGGGTGAGATCATCCGTGCTTTTGGGGTGGAGTTCCATCAGTACGCTGATGATACTCAGCTGTACATTTCCACCCCAGACCATCCCAATGATGCCTTGGAAGTGATGTCCCAGTGCCTGGAGGCCGTGCGGTCTGGATGGGGAGAAACAGACTTCGACTCAACCCTTCCAAGACCGAGTGGCTGTGGCTGCCGGCGTCCCAGTATAGCCAGCTGACGCCATCGCTGGTTATTGGGGGCGAATCATTGGCCCCCACGGAGAGGGCCCGCAACTTGGGTGTCCTCCTGGATGCGCGGCTGTCTTTAGAAGGGCATATGACAGCCGTGGCCAGGGGGCTTTTTGTCAGGTTTGCCTGATAAGCCAGTTGCACCCCTTTCTGGACCGGGACTCCCTACGCACGGTCACTCAAGCACTTGTCACTTCTCGTCTGGACTATTGTAATGCTCTATACATGGGGCTCCCCTTGGGGTACACCCGGAGGCTCCAACTGGTGCAGAATGCGGCCGCGCTGGGGATTATGGGAGCGACGGGGCGCTCCCATGTGACTCCTCTCCTGCGCGAGCTGCATTGGCTTCCGGTGGACTTCCGGGTGCGCTTCAAGGTGTTGGTGATCACCTTTAAAGCGCTCCATGGCTTAGGGCCAGGGTACTTACGGGACCGCCTTCTGCCACCAATAGCCTCCCATCGGCTGGTTCGCTCCCACAGAGAGGGCCTCTTCAGGGTGCCGTCGGCCAGACAATGCCGGCTGGCGACCCCCAGGAGGAAAGCCTTCTCTGTGGTGGCACCTACCCTTTGGAACAATCTACCCCCAGAGATACGAGTGATCTCCGACCTCCGGACTTTTCGTCGGGCCCTAAAAACTTATTTTTTTCAGTTAGCCGGTCTGTCTTGATTTTAGGGTTAGTTTTAAAATTTTAATATTGATTTTAAATTGACAAGTTTTAAATTACGGGCCAAATTTATAAATTATTTTTAATTTATTTTTAACTGTGATGTTATGTATAGATGTTTTTATTTTGGCTGTTCACCGCCCTGAGTCCGAAAGGAGAAGGGCGGTATAGAAATTTGAATAATAAATAAATAATAAATAAATAAATAAAATGGTCTGAATTGGGATTGGGTATGATATTTACTCAAAAGTAACACTAAATTTTTCTTCCCTAAAATTAAGTGTGTATGGAGTCAGTGGAGGTAGGTCAAAATGGTATATTTTCTGAAATAAGACAAAGTATTATTGAAAGTAAACAAATGTACAAGAGACATAAATGTGAGGATGTCTGCTGCAAACATTGCAAGTAATAAAAAGAGGTGGATGAGACTGGAAGTTTTCTCTATATTTATCTGGAAGTAAAAACATAGAAATCAATTGAATAAAATTGCTGCAAATCTAATTATATTCCTTTATCCTTGCATCTTAGCACACATGACTATCATCCAGTTTCTTGGTTTTAAATAGAAAAAACAGGTTTTCCCCAGTTTCTATTCCAATTTGTAACTTTGGCTAAATGTATCTATCCTCAATATAATAGCATTGTATGGACTGAGTGGAATTTTAAATAAGTCTTAAATTTGCTGAACTTGAACTTCTGCATTCTCTTGAACTGTACTCCAGAGTGGTTTTTGTGAGAATGTGTACATATGGATGGGGAACTATTAACTTTACAAAAAGTTACATTATTTTACAGATAATTATTAATTTATAATCAATAAATGTTAATTGAATGTTTGTCTTTGCCCTGTTATTTTTTGGAGCATGGCCTACAGAGGAAATCATGGCCTACATTTGGAGCATGGCCTACAGAGCATCACACCGGGTGGCTGCTCTTCTGGTTTCTGGCGCTTCGCCACGTGTGAAGACCAGCTGGCCGGCACGCCGGAACCCAGAAGAGTAACGGGCGACGGCTTGTGCCCGGAGAAATGGCTCTGCGTGCCATAGGTTCGCCATCATGGGGCTAGGCCATTGTAAAACATTGATATTCTTCTGATGAAGCCATTCTTTTGTTGATTTGGAGGTATGCTTTGGTTCATTGTCACTTTAAAAGATGAAATTCCTCTTCATCCTCAGCATTTTATCAGAGTGTCACTACTTCTCTGCCCTTATAACTTTTGCAAATAACTGCCCTGTGACTCTGTTTTAAGTCACAAGAGCCCCCCAGAATAGAGGGGGCTTGGAGAATCTCTTACAGGGGTGGGCAAAGCAATTTGCTCAGAATCTATTAGGGGACAGAGTTGCTCAAAGTTGGATGCCAGCTTTGTTGCAGATCCAGAATGGATGCCTGGGGAGGAGTTTTGCTCCACAAGTTACATCAGTTGCCAGGATGCTTCTGGCTCCAATTCAAGGCACTGGTTTGACCATTAAATCCCTTTATGGCACTGAGGTATTTGAGGGATTGTCTCTCCCCAATTGCATGTACCACTTCCATTACATCTTGCAGATAAGGCATGCATGCTATGTCCCTTAAGTCATCTGGATCTAAGACCATGATGACGAACCTATGTCACGCGTGCCAGAGGTGGCATGCAGTGCACACATGCGCAGGGCCGGGGCACGTGCAGGGGGCATGCGCCATTGCATTTTGGGGTTCAGGTACACTTTGGGCACTCGGTCTGGAAAAGGTTAGCCATCACTGATATAAGATGACTCCATCATAATTAATATTCACCTTCTCCTGTGCCTTGGTTTTTATATTTTAATACTGTTTGTTTTATATTTTTAATAACTTTTTATATATTTATTGTTTTAGATATTGTTGCACGTTGTCCAGAGCCATTATTTGTGAGATGGGCAGCCTTATAAATTTGATTAAATAAATACATGCATAAACATATTTTCAAGATCGAAATGTGCTTTTGCTGTTGCAACCATTATCGCTTTTCAGCTTGCCAACGAACTAGGAAGGAGGGAAGGGGAAATGGAATATAGGCTCCAGACAACAAGAAGACGAATGTGGGAGCCAAGGACACTGCAGCAAGTGTTTGCAAAAGGCAAAGACTTTTTCTCACAATATCGTGAGGCTCAATTGGACCATGTGATCAGCACTTAGAGGGGAACGGAAAATCCTATACTAATTATGTGGGTTTGCGTGGGAATTAGTTAGATCTGGTTTGACCTAATCAGTGCTGAAATGATGTACTCAATAAAGTTTTGCATTCAGAGATTGGATCGTCTTGCTTTTGCTTTCTTGATTGGGTTCGTCAGGCAGAACATTGACACATAGCCTGATAAGTAAATAAATAAATAAATACACATATGCATATACATTTGCAATTGAGTCATATATACAAATTTGGTAGGAGGAAATACTTTCCAAATTGATTTTATTGGGAATTGCCAATCCTAGATTGGCAAACCTAGACAGGAAATCTGGGCAATTCATAGGACTATTTTGTGTGGATTTATAAACAATTTTCTATTTAATCTTTATTTTTAGAGGGGGAGTGGCTTAAGTTCTTGGCATTTTCCTTTCAGTTATATTCAATATTATAGTTACATCTGCTTTCCATTCTCATTCTCTTTTCAGAAATCAAATGGGACTCCATTTGCTAATAGTGATGCCTGTTTTGCTCTAGCCTATGCAGTTATCATGCTGAACACTGATCAGCACAATCATAATGTTCGCAAGCAGAATGTACCTATGACATTAGAGGTGAGATATTTCTTCTTCGTGGAATTTGCTAATTTGAATATTCTGATTTTTTTTCTGGTGTGTTGGGCTTTATTAAGATTATGTTTTCATCCTCAGCTTTCTTGTTCCTATTTCTTTTCTTTTCAATAAAAGGACCAGGAAAATATTTAAAAATAGAAAATAAAGTTCTTATAAAAAGCGGTAAAACAATTTCCTTACTGTAAGCATCCAGGGTAAATCAGATCACTTTCACTAATGTAGGAAAAAATCTTCATGCCATTGACTTCCTTGTGATAAAAACAAAAGTGTTTGTTGTTCCAGAAAAAAAGCAGTAATAAAGAATAAAAACTTCATGTTTATAATCCACCAGTGTGTGTGGGGGAGGAGTGTGTGTTTGTAAGAATAGTTCAGCATTCCACCAGAACATTTAAAATGTAAAGCAAAAAGAAAAGAAAAGAATTTCAAATTTGGGAGGCATGCTTAAAAATTCGAACTAAAAGGTGGAGACTTGACTCTTCAGCCATAGATGGTGGCAAAATCAGCTGTTTGTCAGTATGGAAAAGAAAACTACCAGAGCGCCATTTTCAGAGGATCTCTTGCTTCTATTTTTCTGCTTTTTTTCTTTGAATTGTAGAAGCTTTTAGAAACTAATCCCAAAATCTTCCAAAGATATGTGTTACCTCTGAATTTCATAAGAAAATATTCAAAATATATCACAATAAAGGTTATTTGCAGAATTCAGAATTTATCAGAAAGTAATGTACTTTCATTGATAATTACAGGAATTCCGAAAAAATCTGAAAGGAGTAAATGGTGGCAAAGATTTTGACCAAGACATGTTAGAAGATATATATTATGCTATCAAGTAAGTATAAATTAATCCTTGGAAGAAGAAAGTTATCAGAGCAATCTGATTTTTTAAAAAAGCTACTTTGATGTAGTGGCTAAAGGGCTAGCCTAGCAGCCAGTAGTAGACAGTGAGTTCTAGTCCTGCCTTAGGCATGAAAAACTGTCTGGGTGTCTTTGGGCTATTCACAGTCTCTCAACTCACCTCACAGAGTTGTTGTTGTTGTGGGGAAAATAGGAAAAAAGAAGCATATTGATACATTCACCAGTTGGTGTTGTATATGAAAAACGTGGTATAAAAATGAAATAAAATAAAATCTTAGCATATTTGCTACAGTGCATCTTAACAATTGATCATTTAATGTTTCTGTATTCATCTTTGATAGAAATGAAGAGATTGTGATGCCCGATGAACAGACAGGTTTAGTAAAAGAAAACTATGTATGGAGTGTGTTGTTGCATCGTGGAGCCACTGAAGAAGGAGTTTTTCTGCATGTTCCACCTGGCAGCTATGATCATGACCTCTTTGCTATGACCTGGGGACCTACTGTTGCAGCTCTTTCCTATGTTTTTGACAAGAGCTTAGATGAAACAGTTATCCAGAAGACTATTTCTGGTTTCAGGTAACTTTTCTTCACAGTCTACAAAATTATTTTATGTACCATATCCTTATTTTGACCAAAAAACCTTGGATGTTAAGCATGCTGATATTTTCCACAAAGACATACAGTTTTTAACAATGGCCTGTTTAAAATGTATCCACTAATCTTCGATGTCTACACTATCGTGCAGTAGCTGTTGAAATCTATTAGTCAATGTAAATTGGAACTGCACAACAACTGCAACATCTTTCAATTTCTTGACTGCAAAAGGACATATTGTTTGGCATTGTTGTATTTTCTTTAACCTGAATCACACCATGACTAGGTAACGGTCTGAGTTCACATCTGACCCTAGTAGGTGTATACATCTAGCAACATCAAGTACCATTGCCTAAAAATACATATATAGTTGATTTTGATGCTTGTGGAACTGTCAGGAGAGTGCCATCCTGCCTTGAGAATGCGGTTATGTTCAAAATAGGTGTTCCCAATACATAAACTGTTCATACCACAGAATAAGGTGAGGTATTCACCATTATCATTCATTTGTATAGCTGAACCGTGTAGCCCTAGAACATGTTCTATGCTATGTTTGTGTCCATCAATCTGGGCATTCAGGTCTCCGATAACCAATTTTAAACAGGCCGTTGTCAACAGTGCCAATGTAACAGTAGGGTGACATCAAGGTTCATGGAGAGAACAGTGGATTCTAGATGATATCTAGAAATTCATTGACAAACACAGGATTGCGAAACATCAACAGGATCAGGCAAAGACATTGACTGAAAGAATAGTAGCAAAGGACAAATACAGAGACCTGGACTGCCAGGTTAAGCAGAGTTGCCCGGTTGATAAGCGCAAGAGCATTGAGGCACAAGAGGCAGTGGATAGGAATGATATGAAGATAATATATCATATTGTTTTGCAATTTAACCAATGCAAGAGGAAGTCTTGATGTTCCTATTAAAAATAAGAATGGAAAAGTTTTGTTTAAAAATGAAGACCAAGAGGCGAGATGGGTAGAACACTTCAAAAAAAACCCATTTAATCAGCCAATCCCCAATATGACCTATGATTTTAGTAATGCTGATTCCATTGCACTACTCGATATTGAACTGAGCATGATTACAATCTATGAAGTTCAATGGGCAAATAATGCATTGAAGAATAATAAAGCTGTCAACATAGACGAGATCTTGGCAGAACTTTTGAAAGCTGGCGGAGATCTGGTAATGGAGCTGATTAGATTATTAAACATGTGTTGGCACACACAGTGCTTTCCTGACAATTGGCAAAAGAGAGTTATTGTTAAAACTTCCCAAGAAGGGAATCTCAGAGTCTATAATAACTGGAAAGTTATCACTTTTCTTTCTGTACCTGGCAAAGTGTTCTCAATCGTTCTCCTTAGACTCCTGCAAGGAACAATTAATAAAATGCTATGGGAGGAACAGACTGGGTGTCAGGGTTCCAAGTAATACCCCCAACGAAAGAAGACTTTGAGGCTTGAATTCCTTCAAAGTTCCATTTTATTAGAGATGTCATATTGGTACATCTGGGAAAACCCGAATCTGAAAGTTTCCAGGTTTTTCCTACCCTAAAAAAGGTCCCTGCCCAGCACTCACATGTCCATCACATGATCCAATCAGGCACCATCCAAAATTGGAGATGCCTCCCAGTCACCTCATCGCAGCTGCAGGGCAAGGTGGCCTTGACTCTCTGAGAAAAGAATGTTAGTTTGACAACATATTGATTTATTGATTTATTGGTTCGATTTATATGCCACCCTTCTCCGGAGACTCAGGGTGGCTCACAATGTGTTAAGCAATAGCCTTCATACTTTTGTATATGCCTGCTTAGTAGGGCTTTCGCGCCCCGCGCCCCCCCCCAGCAGTGTTCTTTTTTATACAAAGTCAGTTTATTGCCCCTACAATCCGGGTCCTCATTTTACCTACCTTGGAAGGATGGAAGGCTGAGTCAACCTTGAGCCTGGTGATATTTGAACTTGCAGTAATTGCAGGCAGCTGGTGCTACTTTAACAGCACTTAGTCAGTTGCGCCACCAAAGACTCTTTGTCAATCCATGCAATCCCCACTCCCATTTTCCCATCATAGAAAATGTGGCAGGCCTGAAGGCCCAAATGTAAAAGATGGCTTCCAGGTCTGACAGACCCCCCCACCCCCCGAGAAAATCGTGTCCTGGAATGAGAGTAGTACAGAGAGTTAAAATCATACAGTTAACCACCTCTCCCCCCCCCTCCCGGAGGACCCTTCGGCTTGTCAGGATATTTCTCATGGAATTGCTTAACCAATCTGTCTGCCTTCACATCCCAACTCTTAACCCATGTAGCTTCAGACAAAGGGTACCCTTTCCAATGAACTAAGTATTGTAAACGACCCCTATAGTCTAGAATCTAAATTTTTTTCAGTTCATAATGGGTTTCTCCTTGCACTACTATAGGAGGAGGTGGTGGTTGGGTCTGAGGTCTTAATCTAGACCCAAAGGCTGGTTTCAGCAGGCTACAATGAAACATGGGATGTATTTTCCCTAGAATGCGGGGGAGGCTAAGTTGAACTGTCACAGGGTACTTTCACTATTGGGAAAGGACCTAAAAACTTATGTCCTAATTTTTTGCTAGGCAGCCTCAACCGTACATGTGGTTGATAGGAAAACTTTATCTCCCACATGGAAGTGGGTTGAATAAAGCGGTGCTTGTCTGCCTGCTTTTTATATTCCTCCGCAGTTTCTGCCAGTGCTTTCTTTATATTTTCCCACCCCTTTTTCAAGGACTCCACTCTGCCAAAGACATAGAAGAAGGGGGTTCCCTGGGTAGTTTAGGCATGGGGACAAATTCCATGCCACTGGTAACTTGAAAAGGAATCAGTCCAGTGCTGCTATGCAGTGCGTTATTGTAAACCACTTCTGCAAACAGTAACAAGTCCGTCCAGTTCTCTTGTTGGTAATCCACATAGCATTTTATATATTGCTCCACCATTGCATTTGCTCGTTCCGCCGCGCCGTTCATACTCAGATGAAAAGCCGAGCTAAGTCATTGCGTGGATCCGATGGACCTCAGGAACTCTCTCCAGAACTTGGCCATAAATTGGACTCCCTCGGTCTGAGATGATTCAGCAGGGTATTCTTTGCAGGCAGTAGATGCATTTGATGAATGGTTTAGCCAGCTTCTTCGCAGAAGGCAGTCTGGAGCAAGCAGAAAAGTGGGCTTGCTTGGAAAATAAATCAATTACTGTCCAGATTATTGTGTTCCCCCCATTTTCTGGGAGTTCAACTATAAAATCCATTGCAATGTCTTCCCAAGGTCTACTGGGGCTTGCCACTTGCTGGAGAAGTCCAGGGGTTTTTCCTGGTCTCAATTTCATGGCAGCACAGGTGCCATAGCTCTTTACATAGTTTTCCACACCTGCTTTCATTTTGGATTCTTCAGGAATCCAAAGTGACCGCCTAGTTTTGAGTCATGGCTGCACTGTAACACCTCTAGTCTCAAGCTCGCAGGGACATACAGTTTAGAAGCTTTCCATGCTAGTCCATCACTCATAGTCAAGACATCTTTATTGTCTGTGAGCCAGGGGTCGGCTGGCAGCACAGCTTTAATGTAACTTTAATTTAATTAACTTTAATTTAACGAAGATTAATTAGTTAATTATGTTAGATAATTACTTAATTAGTTAAGTATGTTAGAATCTTCTGATGAATCTTGGAGTTCCATCTTCTTCAGTTTAATTTCTTGTAACATATTTTGGATGTTTTTCATCCATCTTCCTCTTAATTGCTGCATTGTATTCTATAAAATGTCCTTGTATCGCAACCTTACAAACTGTTGTCAAATTGGTTCCCTTACCCAGTGGTGGATTGCCCCCGGTTCGCACCGGTTCTATAGAACCAGTAGTAAAACCGGCGGGAGGCCCTGCCCACCGACCCCAACATCACCAAAATGTAGCAAAATAGCTCAACATGTTGGAAATGCAAGAAATCCCAAGGAACATATTATCATCTATGGTGGACATGCCCGGTAGCAGAAAAAATAGTTTTAAAAGTTAAAAAAAAAAAGTTGGCTACGTCCAGAGAACCGGTAGTAACAAATTTTACATTTCACCACTGCTGCAGATCCTCTCCGCCTCTTCCTGATTTAGCTTCCCTTCGGATTGGGGTTGTCTGTGACCCCCAAGTTCTCGCTGGCTGCGGGGCTTTCCCTCCCCCCTTGTCATCCAGTGCAGTAACTCTTCCTTCGGCAAAATCTTCACCTGTGAAATGAAATGGGTGTGGGTGTCCGTGTGGCCGGACAGATGCTTCCAGGCCCAGAGGAGGAATCAGCGGTTCTGCACTGGGGAGAGGAAGCGTTTATATCGGACTTTGGAGGTGGGAGGGGCCCAGAACAAGGGCCCAGCACCAATGAGAGACAGTTTTGCAGGGAGAGAGAAGCGGAGAAAGTGGGAGGGGGGATCTTGGCCTGAATAACCAACTTGGGCTTCTTCTATGGACGGAACTCTCTCCTCCAGTGGGTGAAGTCAAGGGAAACTTTGCCCGGAGACTGATGATGCTGCAGAAGGGAGAATTCTCATTGGTCCTTTCGCTTTTCTGGACACTCCCTATTCCAAAGTTCTCTGAAGCCCCATTCTTGGCTTGGCAGCATTTCTGTGATTCCTTCGCTCTGCGGAGAGAGGGAATAAGCGGGGAATTCCACTGCCTGAGCCAAAGTGATCTTGAGACACGTCATTTTCTCAGTGGGAGAAACCCTCAGGAGGGGAGGGGTGAGGCGGAGCCTGGCAAGGGAGGCCAGGAGGCGGGGACAGGGACAGGCAATTCAGCCAGTTCGCTGAACTGCATATAAAATTAACAAACAGTTCTAGCGAAACGGGGAGAACCGGATGAATCCCCACACTGCATCCACCCCAAGGAAGCCACCAGCTGCTCTACTACCACCGTCATTAGCCTCATGGTTCCACATACCATTGGGTCGTTGACTCTGCTGCTGTTGCTTTCCAGGTCGGCTTCAGGTCTTTGGT